CAATTGCATGAGTGGTCACTTGGTGGTCTCTTTCTCCGACGTTTCGCGGGACCCTTACAGTGTTGAGGATGGAACCTAGTACCTCATATGTGTTAGGCAAGCACTCCACCACTGAGCCACAACCCCAGCCTGAGCAGTGGTTCTTAACCAGGAGTGATTTGCCCCCTAAGGGGTCCCTTAGCAAATCTAAGGATGTTTTTGATCATTGTAACTGGAGTGTGGGGTATTCCTGGCACTCAGTGGGCAGAGGCCAGGGATGCTGCCAATCTCCTTGCAACACTCAGGACAGAGTCCACCAACAAAGAGTTATCTGAACCAAGATGTCAACAGGGCTGAGTGTGGGAAACACTGAACCTGAGTAAGACCTTGGAAGGTGACTTCAGCCACCTACCCAGCCTCTGGTAGGACCCGCAGGTAAAAAGGTTTCTCCCTCCCTCCCTCTCCCACCCTATGCCCTCAGAAAGCAACAAGAACAAAGGGTTTCTGCAGAGGCCCAGTTGGGGCCTCTCCCTACTTAGCTCTGTGACCTGGGGCAAATCAAGGAGCCTCTCACACATCTCTCTCTCCTCTTCCGGAAAAACAAAGATAACTACTCTCACTGTCGCTGCATAGTAAGCCTTGAAGTCATCGCCCTTATCCACCACCCAACATCAGGATTCCTTCCCTGTTTCTCACGTCTGTCCCTCCCACAGTTCCCTGAGTGGCTTCATTTGAAAATAGCTGCTCAGAAGAAGCTGCACGCCCTCTGGAGACCTGAGGGCTCTCCCTGGAGCTCTGGGCAAGTCCCACCAACCCGGCTCCCTCCCTGCCCTCCAGGACTCACCCACAGGGTCCACAAGGTCGATGTGGTCCACAAAGTCCCGCTTTCCCAGGTAGACGGTGAGCTGGGGAGGAGAGGCAGGGGTGCATTAGAAGGTAAAGGCAGGAGGGCACAGGCCCTGGAGCAAACCTTGGGATTTGCTAAGATTCAGACACCCAACCCCAACCCTTATTCAAATCTCAGTGGATCAGGCCTGGGCGGCACATGCCTGTAATCACCTGTATCTCAGCTACAAGGGAGACTTAGATAAGAATCACAAGTTCAGCTGGGTGCGGTAGCTCACACCTATAATCCCAGCAACTCAGGAGCCTGAGGCAGGAAGATCACAAGTTCAACAATTTATCCAGACCCGTCTCCAAATATTTAAAAAAAAAAAAAAAATTAAAAAGGTTTGGAGATGAGGCTAGGGTTGTGGCTCAGCGGTAGGGCACTCGCCTAGCACGTGCAAGGCCCTGGGCTCGATCCTCAGCACCACAAAAAATAAAGATATTGTGTCCAGCTACAACTAAAAACTAAATATTAAAGGGGGAAAAAAAGGTTTGAAGATGTAGTTTAGGGGTAGAGCACTTGCTTAGAAAAGCAGGAGGCCCTGTGTTCAATCGACCCAGCACCTCAAAAGAAAATTTAAAAAATCACCATGGGACTTGTAGCCCTGCCCCAGCCTTAATGCTAAGAATAGCAAATTCCTGCAAAACTTTAAAAGCAACTCATCTCCAAAAACCCGATGAAGGAGTTATTTGTTCCCATTTTGCAGATGAGGCCACTGAGGCCTAGAGAGGTCTTCATGCCAAATAACCATTGAGAGAGGAGGAGCCATGGCAAAGCAAGCAGCCAGGGGCAGTGCTGGAGTATGAGGGAGGTAGGGGGCCTGGGTAGGGCCCCAGGGGCACTGACACTGGTCCTGCGCTCTTCAACTGCTCCTCCCATTGCAGCCCGGGAGAGAGCCACTTAGATGAGCAAAGCCAGTTTCCACTCAGTAACCAGCCTGCGGGAAGGACCTGCATGCCAGAGTTCCATGGCCCAGAGATGAATCCCTCAGTCCCGGTGATTCCACCCCCATTGTATTTCCCAGATCCCTCCCTCTCCATCCCCACAGCCATCCTTGCCTAGGGGACTTGACAGATAGCCCCCCTCGCTCTAAGCTCTGGGCTGCTCTCCCCTCCTTAGCTGACTGGTTGTTGTAAAATGCAAATCTAACCATGCCACTTCTGAAAACTGAGAAACCTCAGCGCCCAGAGATAAGGATGATAAATGGCTTTCATTCCAAGTGCCAACTCTGATGGATTGGTGGAGGCTGCCCAGGGGCCTGGATTGAAAAGAAATGCAAAATAAATCCTGGCACAGTGGGAAAGGGCGAAAAGGGAGGGGTGATGTCTGCTGTGGGCACCGAAGGGGGATGTGGACGTGCACGTGGCTATTTGCTACCCAGGCCAGGAGTCAAGCTCCAAAGCCCAGCCACAGGACTCCCGTGACCCACCCTGCAGCTGCCCCATCCTCCGCTCCTGCTCCATCTCCGCAACCCAGGACTCAGCTGCCAGATGCCCCCTATGCCCTCCCAAGTCATGTTCCTGCCTTCCTTTCACTTCACCTTGCCTGGAAATGTGTCCCCTCTAGAGGAATCTGTCCCTAACCACCCAGGCTTGGTCCTGTAGCCCCTGGGAATCCCTGGATCTCACACTTGGCACTTCATACGGAAATGATCCATTTCCACGTCTGCCCCACCGTCTGGCTGTGAGCACTGTGCCTGATTCATCTCAGCACACCCAGCCCTGATCCCCACTGGCTCAGCCCAGACCTGGCGTGAAATGAAGCCAGTCATTATATCTGCGGAGCCGAGAGGAAACCAGGATGGAGCTTGGGGTCTGCGAAGGCCACCTCTCCCGACCAGAGCTGAGGCTCCCTGAGGTCCAGGCAGAAAGTCCCTCAAAAGGGCCTCTCCCTGTTTGGATGGAGGGCTCCTGAGGACAGAGCTGTGTCACCCTGACAGGAAGCCATGGCTGCTCTGTCTCTGGGAGGTATGCGTTTCCATGGAAACACCATTGCTCCTCTGCCCAGGAAAGGACCTCAGAGTCCGGGCTCTGGGAGGAGCTGGGTCAGCCTGCCCGACTCACCTTTCCATTGGGGCTCGCCTTCTTGAACACTCTGTGGAGAGAAAGAGAGGTGAAGCCAGGGTTAGCACAGCCCCCAGGGGTGCTGCAGACCATCCCCACGCCCAATGCAGATGTGCCCTGGAGAGACTTGCAGGCACTTGGAGAGGTCAGGCGGTGCCCGGCGCCATCAGCTCTTGCCATCTGTACCCGACCTCCATCTAAGCCACAGTGGTTGCCATTACAGTCCTCCTGCCGCCCATTGGTCACAGGGAACCTCACAATGTGAGATGTCCCAGCTCACACACAGGCGAAGCCTCAAGGGCCCATAGGGTCTGAGCCACTGTCCCTCACCCCTCTCCTGCCTCCCTGCCCTTGCTGCTCTTCAAACCCACCAGGGTGAATCCTGCCTCGGGACCTTTGCTCTAGCACCTTCCCCTGCCCACAGGATGCTCGCCCAGACATCAACCAGCCCAGCCCCACTTCAGCCTGCGCCTCCCCTACAAACCTCCCCTCGCTCTGCTTTTCCTCCTCCCACATCATCGCTGTGACCTGCTACATAATTTCCTTGTGCACTCCATGCTGGCCTGTCCACTCTCCTGACACGCCTGCGTCTCAAGGACAGGGATCTTTGCCTCTTCTGCCCAGGCTCACATCCCAGGTGCCCACAATGGCACCTCTAACTGCTGGTCCTGGCGGCAAGCCTAGAAACACCGACTGAACAAGTGCACGATGAGTCGGTGAAGGAAGGAACTGCTGCAGGCGACTGAGACCCAGGGTGACCCCGCAGAGCGCCGGGCATCAGGCAGTGACAGACCCCCAACTCCTCAAATGCGCCGCATGCATCCAGAGCTCCTGCTGCCCATTCCCCCGCTGTGTCCGGGCCACCCGGTCCCCCCGCCGACTCTCCATCATCTAGCCCAGAACTTCTCAGGGTAACTTTGGGAAGGGAAAAGAGGAAAGAGAGAGACCAGGAGATGAGGTGTTGGAGGAAGGAGGGAGACAGGAAGAGAGAGGACAGGGACGTGGGCAAGAAGTAAGAGATGGAACAGAGGTAAACAGAGACACGGTCACAAGCAGAGAGCTGGTCCACAGGGGGCTGAGAGGGACACCAGTCACCTAACCCCCAGCAGGAAGCCCAGGCAAAGGCCACCTCATCCCAACGTGGTGGCTCCTCCTCTGGGGGCCGGGGGTGGCTCTGTATGGCCTCTGTAGTCCTGGCCCCTGTTCCTCCTCTGCTCACTTCTGGGCCCCCAGGGACCACTGAGGGCTCAGAGCATCGCTTCATACACCCTCCACAGCTCCCCAGGAGCCCCAGGCTCTCCCCTCGTCATCAATATTTATCAGTGTTGGGAGTGTGAAGATGCCACAGTTGGCAGGGGTGTGATAATTGCTCAAGTGAGAAAAAATACAGATCATGTGGTTTGAACCAGCAGCTCCCAAGCCAGGCGGGACTAGGCCTGCAGAGGAGACCAGAAAAGTGGCTCAGTCCACAGGGAACTCAGCTGTTTCCAGAAACCTCTGTCTTTCTCTACACCTAGGAAACCCAGGGTCTGAGGGAAAGAAAAAGCCACACACCCCTCAGGGCACGAATAACTGAGCCAGGGAAAGCCAGTCCAGTGACTGATGGGAAGGATAAGAGGTACCCAGCGGCACCCAAGCCAGACTGGGAGGAGCAGTACTCAAGAAGGCAGGGAGAAAGAGAAGAAGGAGCTAGCATTTCTTGAGTACCTAATTATTCCTCATAATGGCCCTGTGAAATGGAGATGATAACCCTCCTTTTATAAATAATTAACTTGAGACTCAGAGAGATGCAGTAATTTGCCCAGGAACACACAGCAAACAAGGGACTAGATCAGGATCCAGACCTAATTCTGTCGGCCTGCCTCTAGAGGCTGGGTGCTTTATATCCAGCCCCACTGTTTCCTAAAGCAGGTGTTTTTATCAACATCAAGAATAACAGAAGAGAGGGGAAATGAGGACAGGAAAGGGGAAGGGAAGAAGAAATAAAAGAGTGAGTGGGGGTGAGGGGCAGAGTGGAGTGACCAGGGGCAGGAAGCACAGCCAGCAGTGGGGACTGTCCTGGCTCTCAGTCAGCATGGGGCCACCTCCCTCAGGAAGCGGGACTCAGAGCTTCCTAAAACAACAGCAGCTGCTCTCATTCCCTGAGTGCATGTTTGTTATGGCCTGGACATCTCCAGGGATGTTTCCCAGAACACGGCTGAACTTCAAGACATTCCCATTTCAGAGATGCGGAAATTAAGGGTTAGAGAGGCGACTCACAGTCTGTCTCCAGAGCCCACGTCCCACCCCCTCCTTCACACCACCAAGCCCTCCCCCAAACTCCTCCAGCTTCCCACCCCCAACACCATCAGAAAAGAGGCCCCTGTGGGGTGATCCCAGTCTCCCAGGACCCCACAGTGCGACACCACACAGACCACTCTGCTGCTTGTTTTGAAGAACACAAGCTGGAGGTCAAAGCCAAACCCCAGGCCAGGTGCCCGCCTGGGATCCAGTGGCTTGGAAGGCTGAGGCGGGAGGATGGAAGGTTCGAAGCCGGCCTCAGCAACTTTGCGAGGCTGTAAGCAACCTAGTGACACCCCGACTCAAAAAATAAAATAAAATGGGCTGGGGATGTGGCTCGGTGGTTAAGCGCCCATGAGTTCAATTCCTGGCACAAAAAAAGAAAAGATAAAGAAGAAAAAGAAACCAACCCCAGGTTGTGGGAGACTGGGCTTGGTCCCTGCAAGTCCCCTCTGCCCCTCAGCCTGATCCATAGCCAGAGCAACACCAGCAGTGTTCTGGCTGACCAAGGCTCACTGCAGACAGGAACAGAAATCAGCTGAGGAGGGGTATGACAAGGAGACAAGACTCTCACAAGAATGCGCAGGCAGGCCGCCCGGGGGCTGCACTCAGGAACCGGGAAGCCATGGGCTCTCAGGTGGCCGCTCCCTCTCTCCACCTCTCCTCCGGGGGCTGCGTGTGCTCCCAGCTGCGCAGCTGTGGGGCGGCTGCTCCATTGTCTCTGTGGACCTGTGTCTCTGCTTACTCAGGGGTCTTCTGTTCCTCCATCCTTTTGGCTGCATGTGACTCACAGCCCAACCCTGTTCCTTCTCTGCCTCTTGCTCAGCTTCCCGCTCCTAACTGGCTGGATGGCCCCATTCCAAATTGGTTAGCAATTGGTTAGCTTTGGTCAGGTATCTCACCCCTGGGCCAATCAGCCATGCCCAGGGTGTGTCACATGGTCCACGAGGTATGAGCAGAAGAGGGTCTGGTGAGGTCGTGTTTTCCAAACCAAGGGTTACGGCCCACTACCAGATAGTGAAATCAACCCAAGAGATTTTTGGTTTTTTAATGAACCAGAATAGAATAGAATACAGGCAGGAAGGATAAACAGATATGGCCATATTCACCAATATTCAAGTCCCCTCTAAGGCTGGGCCGAAGAAGTTCTGGCCAATGGTACAGGAGAAGTGTCACATGTCACTTCCAGGCAGATGCATTTAAATTTCAGTACATGAATCTCCATGCCCCTTATATTCATTTTCTATGGCTGCAATGAAAAATAACCACAACTTTGGGGGCTTAGAACAGTATAAATTTATAACCTCTCAGTTCTGCAGTTCTGCAGTTCAAAATGGGTCTCACTAGGTTAAAATCAAGGTATTGGCAGGTTTGTTTCTGGAGACCTTTGGGTGAATCTGTTCCTTGCCCTTTGCAGCTTCTGGGGGCCGCCCAAACCCCTGCCTCGTGGCCTCCTTCCTCCACCTTTAAAGTCAATAAAAGTGGAGGAGTTCTCACACTGCATCACTCCGACTTCCTCTTCGGCTCCCTCATCCCCTTTTAAACATTCTTAGTGTTACACTGAGCCCATCTGAATAATCTAGAATAATCTCCCTCTTGTAGGTCAATGGTTTAGCAACCTTAATTCTACATGCAAGGGTCATAACTCTTTGTCATGCAACATAACCCATCCCCGGCTCATCAGACCTTCCAGTGTCCCTTTGTGCCTGTCAGGGAAAGGGCTACACCACAATGGACCCAGATGAAGTACCTTTTAAGACAGATTACCCAACAAATAGAACTTATAATTCTGTATGGTATGACTAAGCAATAGAATATAATACAACACTGAAATTATGCTCTCATCTTTCATAATGCAGGGAAATGACTAAAATAGAATGTTAAGCAGAATAAATCTGGAATCAAAACAGAACAGCATATTTAGCATTAAACTCAACTTTTTTTTTTTTTTGGTGCTGGGTATTGAACCCAGATCCTCGTATATGAGAAGCAAGCACTCTACCAACTGAGCTATATTCCCAGCCCTTTAAACTCAACTTTATATTCAGTAAATACCCAAGAGAAAGAATGAGAAAACAATGTTATTAAGATGACAATACTCAAATTGATTTATGAAGACCCATATTAATCTATAAATTCAATGTGATCTTTATCAAAACAACAGCTGGATTTTTGCAGAAATTTGTAAACTGATCCTAAAATTCACATGGAAATGCAAGGGACCCAGAACAGCTAAAACAAACTTGGAAAAAAAAATTGAACAAATTTAGAAGACTCACATGTCCTCACTTCAAAACTTAATGCAAAGGTACAGTAACCAAAACTGTATGGTACTTGCATATGGACATATAGATCAATAAAAGAGAAATGAGAGTTCAGAAAAAATTACATCTATTTATGATCAACTGATTGTGTGTGTGTGCATGTGCACGCGCTCACGTGCACACACATGGGATTAAACCAAGGAGCATTTTACCACTGGACTACATCCTCATCCCTTTTTTATTTTTTATTTTGGGACAGGGTCTTTTAAGTTGCCATAGCTGAGCTTGAACTTGCAATCCTCTTGCCTCAGCCTCCTGAGCAGCTGATATAATAGGCATACACCACTGTGCCTGGCCAGTCCATTGATTTTAACAAGGAAGCCAACACAAGTCAATAAGGAAAGAACAGTCTTTTCAACAAATGATAATGGTACAACTGGATATTTACCTGCAAAAGAATGAAGTTAGACCCTTACCTCACACCATA